TCCATGCAGCACCCATCCGAGCGGAGTTTTCGATGCGACTGGTTGTGACGAAGATCCTCGGCGAACTTCTATGGCCAGTAACAGTTCCCAATTGTCTTGGCCGATGAGGATCGTTGGTGTGGCGTCGTGGTAACACAGTATCTTCTTGATGCCAGCCAGGTGTTGACATCGTCGGATATCCCTTTCTTCTATTTGTTGTTTGGCGAGTTTGAGTCCCTTCATTGTCCTGGCGGAGATCTCATACTCCTCTTCTGAACCGCATAACGTTAGAGTTACGCGTCTCGAGCTATTTGTTCGAACCGTTGCGCCGGCCAGTGCTTCTATTTTCAGTGGTTCTGTCGGCCCCTCCGCGCCGACTCTTGTGGCTATTTCCTCATCTATGAGGGTGACGGTAGATCCATCGTCGAGGAGGGCGAAAGTGTCGATGCTGGCCCGCGGTCCGACTATTTTCACCGGCAGTATTTTGAGATAACTGCGCGGTGAACGTGTGAGCGAGACGCCTGTCGATACTGTTGCTGTCTCTGTCTTCTGTGTCTCGCTCGTTGCCCTGTAGTGCAACAATTTGTGATGCATACGTGGACAGTCATCTATTCCGCAAGTCTTCGTCTTGCAGTTATGTGTCTGTGTTCGATATTGTAGGCATCGGAAACACAGACGTTGCGCCTTCGCTATTTCCCAACGCCCGTAGCTATTTTCTTTCTTGAATTTTTCACACTGTTGCGCCGCCGTGTGCGAATTTGATTTGCACACGGGACACGTTGGCTTGTGGCGGGGTGGGCTGTCCGTCTTGCTCGCTGTATGTGTTCGCTGCGGACGGATTTGAACACGACGACTTTCCGACGGCTTCGGTTTGTCGTCCATGCTTGCTATCTTCATGGGTTCGGCGCTTACGCTATAAATTTCAGCTTCTATCTTCACGAAGTTGTAGTACTGTACTAAATCCGGTACGTCTTCGTGGGCTTGCTGCTGGCAGTAAACATACCACCTATGTCGAATGTTCGGCGGTAGTTTTTCTATTAATAACTTCGCCACTTCCGGGTTGTATAGGAAGTTGATCTTCTTCAACGTCTTCAATGACACGATGCTATTCTTGATAGAACTCCCCGGTGTGTCCTTCGGTGGTGGAAGACTCCGCAGCTTTGCTATTTCGACTTCTGCTATGTTGTTCGGTCGACCGAAGGTGAGCTCCAACTCGTGCATGATCTCTTCGGCCGGCGTGTTTGCTATTAGAGGCTCTTCATTGCTGACCTACTCTCCGAGCCTTTCTATGTTCTGCGACGGCGTTAGATACCCCGCAGATTCGTAGGCTGCCTTGAAGGCCAGCCAATCTGTATGCGCCCCGTAGAACGGTGTGAGTTCCCCTCTATACTGTGCTGCTAGGGGACCCGACGTTGACGCTTGTGGGTGCGGCGCGACGGTCGCTAGCGACGATGTAGTCGCCCTGACGATTTCGGTTACTGCAGTTGCGAGATCACCAACTTGAATGGTGTCTGTGGGTGCCAATCGTTGGTGAGTTTCTATGGTACCCCGAAGCGGCTCCTCTATTCTCGCCGGTGTGGGCCTCTTCGGTGGATTCGGTGGTGCTTCTGGTGGAGGTGGTGGTGGCTCGGACTGCTGCTCGAGCCATTCGACGACCCTATTGTGGCCGTCTTGCGATGCTGGTTCCGACGGTTCTTCGTCTTCTTCTCCGAAGGCTTCCAGTCGGGCTAGCTTGGCCTCCGCCAACTGTAATCGATAGCGAATGACCTCTTCTCGGGCGATAGCGATTTGTTTCTGTCTCTCCTTTTCTCTATCGGAGAGCTGTGATCGCGCCGTTGTTTGTTGAACGACGGTTTCTTCGACGTCTTGTGTCCCTTGTGGCGACCTCGGCGGTATGCTATGTCGAATAGGGAACGGGTTTTCCCTCCGCGGTGGGTCTGGGACCTGTTCTGCATCTGTTTGATGCTCTTCTGTCTTCTCCTCTTGCATCTTGCCAGTTCTGCTTCGTGTGACGGGCATCTTCTATTTTGTCTTCTATTCTTCTTGATCCGGCTCGAAGGACCAGCAGATGTGCTGGCCGCTGCCCCCGGGAGTCGGAAGGCGCGTCGGCAGGCACCGAGTCGCTGGTACGCCCGGACGTCAATCTATCCTCCTCGAGGTGAGAGAGTGCCCTTTTCAAAGCACTCCCTACCTGAAGGGCCTCAATCAATCGGGCGCGTTGCGGGTGAAGGACCAGGTGCCTTTTTTATAGGCACCACGATGATTCGTCCTGAGAAGGACGTTTAAACGATGCTGATGCGACGGTGACACGATGCGATGACACGATGCGTGAAGAGGATTGTGATGACTATACTTAACGACGGCGATGATGGACGGGCAGTGAATGAGAAAACAGTTCTTGTGGTTCAGAATGCAGAGGCGAGGAGAATTTCTTCAGTGGTTGATTCCTTTTCAGGTCGATTTCGCTATCCGAAGATCAATGTCGCTATTCAGAGGTTGAATTCGCTATGATTTGTAGCGCTTTTGGACGCTACTTATATACGATTTTTGGTTACTAGCCAGCGGACCCTTGGCCGCCCTATTCTCCTCACCCCTTTATATAATTTTTATTATATTTTATCAATCTTACATTTTTTGTGTTTACAATTTGTGCATCAAACGTCAATACCATCTTTAATTTACATTTCTATTATGATGTGTGCGCTGCGCGACGTGCGGTTTAGGAATAATTCGCGATTTCGCGGATCGCGCCTTTTATATGACCTCGCTCCCCTTCCCCCTCCTATATATATAGCGCGGGAGAGCGAGGTCGCGCGTCAGTCGAACGAATGTTGCCGCGCAACGCACATTACAATTATTATTACATATCTACAAATGAAATGATACTATAAAAAGATCCCTATGTATTTTGGGATCTATTTTTTTATACTATATTCTATTCTGTTTCTATTTGACGACCTATTTATTTTTAGGGGATTGAAACCACAACCATTATAATCATTTATTTGTCAAGCATTTTTGTAAATAATAACATAAAGAACTTAAATTTCTATAAACTTATCCCTATCAAATCTATTAATCTTAAGGTGTTACTATGTAACAATTGTACTATTTATAAATTTGCTATATCTAATCGAACTTATTTCTACAAACTATGACTATATATAATCTTTAAGCGGTGGTCCGGAACAGTATATATTATAATGTCGTTAGCATATTCTTATTCCGAAATGTACAAAACCAAGTATAAACATTAGCTATTATTCTGAGCGTTACGTCCTTCCCAACTTGTCAAGTTGAATCTCATTTTTTCCATATAATAGTGGGTTGACTCCCAAGCCTGCGAGTTGGAGTCATTTAAAAGTCATTTGCGTAATAAATTCAAGATTCTCTCGCCTTTTATTCCCCTTGAGCCTGATTTACCAACGTCCCGCTGTAACATAGTCTTTTATCAGACCCACTGGCAGTTTTGCAAGGAAAATGTTTCGTATATATACGCTGCTGGAGTGTATTTAAATAAATATTATAACTTGCCAAGTTACGTGACACATTAGTGTGGTACGAAGGTAATATTTATTATGTGATTTTACTAAAGTGTGTGTTTTATCTTCTTTCATAAGTTAAGTACTTTATTTTGTTCACTAGATGGCGCTGTTCAATTGCTACAACGCGCTATGTTTTCGTTTCGAAGTAAAATATAAGCTATGGCAATTTATCACATATATATAAGTTTCTGCGTCGAGCCACACCGTCCTCGCCGGCGAAGACGACGACCTCAAACACACATTATCGCGCACTCAACCGGGCGCCCGGGCGCTCCACACCGGCGCCCCCGGTTGCCCCTCCGATCGATCCCCCGTCCAATTCAAACGGGGACCGATGTTACGACGGCCTAAGCCTAGGTTCGAACCCCTAGCGGTGCCTTCAGACTAAAGTCGTATCCGTTAGGCGGGAGTTGGCCTTCAGCGGCTCCATAAATCCATCCGCGGGTTTGGAGTGCCATCTGCACTCGCCCCATAACGTCCGGTGAAGCTGTAAAGGCCAGCTACGGCCAACAGCATTAGAGTAGTCCGAAAAATCCACTGGTGCACCGTGATTCGTTTGTAGCGTGAACTCCACCGCGATCTCAATCTGCCTTACGTCAAGCAGTTTATGAAGGAAACGTTTCGACGCTACTTCGACTCTGCCCAATCCCATCCGAACCCGCTTATAGTCAGTACGGTCGACTACGCACCGAGGAGTAATATCCGACATACGCGACAACGTCGCCCGAGGCATGTTCTCATTTATCCCGACGACCCCATAACGGCAGTCAACATCCCACCCACGGGCCCACCCGTTCCGTCCCGACCATACTATTACACACAATCACGATACCGTCCTCGCCAGCGAAGACGACGACCTCAAACATATCATATCGCGCATTCAACCGGGCGCCTGCGTGGACAAACGGGGACCGATGTTACGACGGCCTAAGCCGAGGTTCGAACCCCTAGCGGTGCCTTCAGACTAAAGTCGTATCCGTCAGGCGGGAGTTGGCCTTCAGCGGCTCCATAAGTCCATCCGCGGGTTTGGAGTGCCATCTGCACTCGCCACCTATCGTCCGGTGAAGCTGTAAAGGCCAGCTGTGGCCAACAGTCCCCTCTGATCGATCCCCGTCCCATCCGCGAGATTTTTATAACTTCTGTAAGTTCTTTTGCATGGTGTGTTCGCCTATAAATAATTGTACATTTCGATAACAACCCATGTCAATAAATAAATCTGTTAACTGTTTGATTGTAACAATTGTAGATGATCAAAAATAAATATTTAGGAAAAGTTAATCTTCAACGAGCAAAGCTATATTTAGACGCTTTTTCGTGACCGAGTAATAGATCACACGCAGTATGCATAGAAGTATCGCATATAAAAAAAAAGTAGGTTTTTCGTGATGGAAAAATCCTTCGATTCTTTTATACATTGATATAAAAGAAATCGAAGTTTAACTTAAAAAAACATATGGAGTACTAGGATTCACTTACTATTTTTACTAAACATATACGATGATATATGCGGCCGACTCGCGACATACAATCGCACGGACATGCTGCGCACGTGTGGCGGTTTTGTCGCTAGTGTCGCGCGACATCGCAACGCGAGGTAGCCGCGGTGCGTCGGGTAATCGTCCGGAAACACGTGTAGGGTCCGCCAGGATGCCCGGAGCCCTTCCCCGTCAGCGCCAGATATATGGGTTTTGTCAGTAATTAGCGGGTCCTGGGAATACAAAGAATACTATTAGCATATTCAAATTCAAATTCAAAAATTCAAAAATTCATGTTGGACATTTTAGCCGCTTATGAACGTCAAGTTTTTACATTATATTTTTTTCCCTACCGCCCAGTTCGGTATATAGATCCAATTGAGAAGAACTGGCAAGAAACTCAATTGAATTACTTTTTTTTTTTAATCCAGTTTATTTACAATGCATAGGTATTTATATAGGTGTCTATGTCTAACATTAAATGAAAATCCCGAACATGAAAACTATTGCCATGCACGCTCGTCACCCAAGTAATCGTTTAGTAAGTAATAGACCTTGCTCAGTAAATATGATTTAACAGATGTTTTGAATTTATTTAAGGGTAATTCCAATATATCCTTTGGTATCTTATTGTAAATTTTTATACCTATTCCCATAAAAGACCTATTGACTTTTTCTAAACGATACTTGGGGACAGCAGGTTTGTCTTTAAATCTAGTATTAATTTTATGAATATTGCTGTTTTTTGGAAATATAAATTATATATTCATATATGTAAATTATATACATATAAATTATAATCTGCAGATTTTGCCAAACTGAAAAGGAAACGCCACACATCCTATGTGGTTGTAGCCCACTCATGCATAAACATAATATCTCCTTTGGAAAGTTTACACACTATCCAGATGAGATAAAAACCATCGATTCTAAGAATATCCTTCAATTCTTGTCCCTGACGGGTCTAGGTAGCGAACTTTGAAAAGGGTGAGCACAATAGATCTATGTAGGTCGCAGTGCTACAGGTCGACGCACCTGACAATAGCCCAAACAAACCAATAAAAAAAAATGTAATTAACTATACAATTTTGTTTTGGTATCAGTAAGATAGAACTCACGATTTTTTGGAATCTTTAAGTTACCAAAGCCTTAAGGGACGACAATACTAAGGAAAATTGTTCTGAATTTGAGTTCGTCGTCCCTTAGTGGTTTGGTAACTTAAAGATACCAAAAAAAACACAAAAAAGGCTCACACGGGCCCAAATTAATACTCTCAATATAAATTACTATGTGCTTTATTTTCCTACAAAACAATTTTTCTTAGTATCTAAGGAAAATTGTTCTGTATTTGAGTTCGTCGTCTGTTAGTGATTTGGTAACTTAAAGATCCCAAAAAATCCACAAAAAAGGCCCACACGGGCCCAAATTATTACTATCCTTCTAAATCACTATGTTTCTTATTTTACTAAAGAACAATTTATATTAGCTTCTAAATAAAATTATTCTGAGTTTGAGTTCGTCGTCTCTTAGTGGTTTTGTAACTTAAAGATCCCAAAACATCCACAAAAAGGGCCACACGGGCCCAAATTATTACTCTTATTATAAATCACTATGTGCCTTATTTTCATTCAGGACAATTTTTCTTAGTATCTAAGGAAAATTGTTCTGAGTTTGAGTTCGTAGTCCCTTAGTGGTTTGGTAACTTAAAGAACACAAAAAAGGACCTACACGAGCCAAAAAGAATTATTTCTTTATAAATCACTATGTAACTTATTAAATAGTAAATTATTGTAGCTTTAATTAAAAATATTTGAATAAAGAAAACGGCAATCAACACAAAAATATTATTTATTTACATAATAATGCGTTATTATAATGCGTGTACAATACGTCCGAGCAAATAATATTATTCAAAGCCTCAACTAGGGGTGCCACCCGTACATTATTGTTATAATTACTGAGGAAGTGTATGTCAACCCTAACTTTGTTTATAATCTGTGTCGATCTAAATATATATAACTCAAAGGTGGTCAGTCACCTTAGTGATCTATAAACGCACAGCCCAAACCACTGGACGGATCGGGCTGAAATTTGGTATGCAGGTAGATGTTATGACGTAGGCGTCTGCTAAGAAAGGATTTAGATAAATTCTACCCACAAGGGGATAAAATAGGGGTCGAAAGTTTGCATGAAACTTTGTCAATTTTAAACCAATCGGGCTGAGACTTTGCATGCATAAAGCAACTATGACGTATGTATCCCCTAAGAAAGGATTTTGATAAACTTCACCCCAAAGGGGATAAATTAACGTGAGCGAAGCCGCTGGCAAAAGCTAGTGTAGCATATAATTAATCTTTGCAGGATACGGATATGTAATACTTTCTCTTTCTTGTTCTCTCTCTCTCTCTTGTGTAAATTCTTGTACTGTGTGACATGTTTTGTTCGTCTGTTTCTACTAAATAAATTCTGTACGTGAATTATATAAAATTGCGTATCTTTTAACTGCTAATAACAACATTTATAATAAAGTATTGTAATTTACTTCAGATAATTGTACTGTATACTTTACTAGCTACTCGCCTCGGATTCGCACGGGTGTACATGTATTATATATATAAACGTTCCTCGTGAATCACTCTATCTATGAATAAACCACTTCAAAATCCGTTGCGTAGTTTTAAAGATTTAAGCATACATAGGGACGGACAGACAGCGATAGCGACTTTGTTTTATACTATGTAATGATAATGTGAATAATAAAGTACACGTAAAGTATAAATATAAATAAAAATGTAAAGCATAGTATAGTATATAGTAAATATAAATAATTATATAAAATAAAGTATAAATATAATCGTAAAGTATAAATACTTTATTTCGCTTGACTTGATTTCTTTGGGATTTTGAAGAGTTTAATCATATGTATGATTTCATTAAACGAAATCTATCGATTGGTGCTAACTTAATCGATATTATTCATTATATATTTCAATATAAATATAGACTGTAAAGATGCTGTGCAATTATTTAGTACAGGTAATAATTTGATATAAACTGCAAAAAGCAATAAAAAATATGTTTTTAAATACTTACTAATATTATAAATGCGAAACTAAGTCTGTCTGTCTGTGTGATTCGCTTTCACGCCAAAACTACTGAACCGATTTAAATTTGGTACACAGATAGTCTAGACCCTGAGAAAGGACATAGGCTACTATTTAATGCCAATAAAGGGTTGTAAGGGGTTGAAAGGGGAGATGAAGGGTTGTATAGAAGTATCGTCATTTTTAAAACTAGAATCTTGAAACTTATTTTTTAAGCTGTTCATTAAATACTATAAATAAATATGACTAAGTTTATTATTTTATATTTATTTATTATTTTAATATCTAAAACCTAAAAAAAAACCTAAAATTTTTTACCTCCATAAGGGTAATAATTTTTGTTACCCTTAAGGGGGTAAAAAATAGGGGATAAAAGTTTGTATAGAAACTCGTCATTTTCTAATCTATAATGAGGAATCTTTTTTTTTGCCTTTTTTGGGTTAGATTATTAAATATTTTTTCTATATTTGTCCAGGTCACTATAACACGCGGACGAAACCGCGGGCGCAGCTATAAGAATAAAGAAAAATAAATCGTACTTTATTTTGATACTATGTGCTTTTTTATATATAATAAATGGTTAATAAATGGTTGCCACCTTTTTTTTTTCAGATAAAGTGTGGACTTTATCTGAAAAAAAAAAGGTGGCAACCCTAGCCCCAACCCAGAAATATTTGTGAAGCGGGCGTAGTCCTTCGCATTTACTCACGAACTTTTGAACATTTATAGAATTAAATAAACACAAAAAATCACAATAAACTCTCGTTCAAAGCCATACAGTTCAAAATTAAGTAGCAACTCGACAAAGTAGCCATAGGCCGTACCAGTCTTTTTAATTTTTACGCACCAACAGACGCAGCGATTTTCCTTATATTTAGCACATCGAGCGTCGACGTTTCATTTGAGAGGGAGTAAGTAATAATTACGGGTATGACAGAGAAATTGTTGGTTGCGAAGCTACAAAATACTGTTGTACTTAGGAATGACAAGCATTCTAATCATTTGTAATCCAAATTCAAATATTTATTTGTGGAATATATGTAATAAAGGTTTTAGAATAAACTAACTGTTCCCGCGACTACGGCCTAATGAACTAAAAATTATTGTGTTCGTCTTAATTTATTCGTTCCATTAGGTACTGGTAGGTTCAAACTAATACATTTACATCCTGTATCATCCCTTATTTTATCCCCATGCGGGTTGAAATTATCAAAATCCTATTTATGCGAACGTCTTCATCATAGTAACTCCAATGTTTATTTTCAGTTCAATCAGTTGAAAATCTAAAAAGATTTGTACAAAATTTCATCCCCTACTTAATCCCCTTAGGGGTGAAATTTATCAAAATCCTTTCTTAAGGGATTCCTACGTCAGAGTAGCTTTATGCATGCAAAGTCTCAGCCTAATTGGTTTAAAATTAAAGTAGTTATAAAAAATACATTTCGTTGCAGTTACCTTAAAAATATCCTATAATTTTAATGACCCACATTACTTAACATCATAAAATAAATCCCAATATTCTGACATAGCGGGTCCGCCTTTAATTTCCTACCCGTGAGAAACCCGGCCTTTCTTGCCCCTCGGTTTTCCTTTTTATAATTAATGAGATTTTTCGATGATTATCCGTTTTGTACAGACTGGGAACATAAGTGGAGTTTGTTAATCGGCTATTTGCGCCCTGATTCTACCCATGGGGATGAATAAAATATTTTTTACCATAGAAATAAAAGCATTCATGGAATACTCTGTTAGATTTACGTAGTTAAAATGGACGGTCTGATACCTATAGAAATAATCATTACATAGTATAAAACAAAGTCGCTGTCGCTGTCCGTCCGTCCCTATGTATGCTTAAATCTTTAAAACTACGCAACGGATTTTGAAGCGGTTTTTTAATAGATAGAGTGATTCAAGAGGATGGTATATATATATAATACATGTACACCTATGCGAAGCCAGGGCGAGTAGCTAGTATATTATATTAACGACTATAAATGTTTGAAGTTATCGGCTTGTTCTGTACTATAATACATGTATTATACATATAAACCTTGCTCTTGAATCACTCTATCTATTGTTAAAAACTGCATTAAAATCCGTTGCGTTGTCGTTGTTGTCGGTTTCATTAT